TTCAAAGGGAGGGGGGGGGGGGGGGCTATTTGAGGTTGTATCTATTGCAACCTGCAAGTGCATAAAAGAAGGGCACTAGTCTTTATACGCAAAACAAAGCCCCCCTCAGAGGCTGGCCATTTGATAAGTGATGATGGTACACATTGACATTGGCATGTTGCTACTATGGAAGGGGTACAGAATAGAGGGCACTTCCCCCTTGCACCCTGGTTGGGCCTGGTACAAGGAGGGCAGTGTTTAAAGGATTAACGTAGCTATCTTTCTTCCAAGAGTACAAGCAGGCTTTCATATCACAGGCCTGCAAGATAGGGTCAGTTATGTTGCTGAGCTTCCACACAACAGGAGGGTTTAACCCAGACAGGATAAACATGCTACAGGTCATTTCCAGAACCGAGTGGCCCCAGGACCAGTAGAACATCTGCAATGTGGACTCCTTGGCCGCATCCGGATGAGTGCGGTCATGCAGTATGTGGCACTGCAGACACATCTGCAGTGTCATATACCACACATTTAGCTGTTCTCTGTGCTGTAAGGGAGCAGTGGGGAGGGGGGGTTCACCCTTGAATACCCAGGGGTCAAAAAAAGCCATGCAAAAAAAACAAAAACAAAAAAAAGCAGAGCAGCACATATGGGGGCAGCATGTGCCAGTCAAAACTGGAGCCTGGCTGTCCAGAGCCATACTCCAGCTGCTGGCGAGGCTCCAAGCAGCAGGATCACTGCTGCTGCAGCAGTGGAAGTACCCAGGACTGCAGGTAAAGCTGCTAATACCAGCCCAGTGCTGGCCCCAGCCTCCCCTACCCCACCTGGGGTAACCAGCTGCTCACCAGAAGGTGCATGGCACAGGCGCTCCCCAGAGACAACTAGCAGTGGCACAAGGTGCCCTACAGATAGCTGTCCCTGGGGAACCAAACATACATGCTCATGTGTACATGGCCCTAGAGAATGACAAGGGGAAGGGAACAAGGAAAGATGCAATCTACTCAGTTTCCCCAGTCCCATTCACTATATATGGGAGTGGCAGGTACATTTATGGGTTTAGGTGATTTCAGCCTTATCGCAGTTCAGTGGGCAAGTCTTTCTAAATACCATCCACCACCCAAGTCTACCGGGCTAAATTTTGATGTCAGATTGAGCACCACTGACCTCAGGAGACCTACTCCAGATGTATGCTAGTGGGGCCAAAAGGAGAATCAGGCCCTGGACAATCAGGCTGCAGATGAGATAGGGCACAGGTTACACCATGGACAGGTCCCTTTATCTGTGGACAGAGCAAGGGTGCCCTCATGAAACACTGTAGTTAATCCCTTCTATGCTGGTGCAGTGGCTCTACAGGAGTTTCTTCTTAGACCAATAATATAACCTGCCTTTTGGGGCTGATTGTTCAATAGTGCCCAGATAAATGCTGGATGTGCTCCATTACAAAGCCACTCCTTCCCCTTCGATCCGAACACTGTCTGATCTGAAACACGTGAAGATATAAACCTCCACAAGAAAAACCAGCAGTACATACATAGAAAAATAGACAGGGCTCTTGAGAGCTGGAGTTGCATGGTACATCAGCACCATCAGCTGGACAATTTGGGGAACAGCAGACCCAAGACCTATGAAAGGTACCCTTTGCAAAAAGATCTCGTGTAACACACCCTGAAGTTATAGTAGAATACAGCAGGCACAGGATGAGGTTCCTAATGGCTGGCTACCATAGAAGAACTGGAGGCAGATTAAGGATTTGGCTGAACCCTTAAGGAAATAGGAGAAAACCATGTCCCACTTCCTGTAGGGAAAGTAAAACGTGTCCAGGGTCTGAAAGCAGATCGTGAATTATACCAAAGGTGTTAGCTAGCATTTGCACCATCCATCTTGGGACTCCACTGAATGACAAGCTGACAAACCACTTGTGGTTCAGGGGCATGGCTCAATAACACCGCTCTTGAGTTTGGATTGGGCACCAGTTCTTTTCCACTTCACTGTTCTCTAGCATTACTCTTGCATGCCAGCTTATGAAGAAAGTATGTCCATCTTTTAGTAGTAGACAAAACATCTGAGGCCTGCTGGGGTAAGGGAGCTTTTGTGAGCATCAGTCATAGCTACTTTACTTTTCTTTTTTGAACTAAGCTGCATTACTGAAAATGATCATTTAATTAAAACCATTTTGATTGGCACATACTGTTGACCCAGTATAAGCGACCTAGACTGCGACTGACGGTACCTTTGAACCCCAGCCACCCACTGCATAAAAAACACACCTTTGTCTAGCATTATTCAGAGATTCCAGGAACTGGCTGCTCCCTCCTCGCATTCAGAATTCCTTGGCTGGCTGGGCACGGTAGTCAAAGGGGTTAGTTTTCAGACTAATCTCATCGCGAGTTCATTGGAACAGATCAAGGCTCTTAATTTGTTCAAGCACTGAGCATAATGATAGTAATAGACAGAAAGAGCCAACAAGAAAAATAGCCATTGCACAAAAGAAATTAAAAAGCATTTCCATACCTATAAAGAATCTGGGCAGAATGCCCAACGGCATGAAACATTAGACGAGAACTCCTCCTGGTGGAGCACTGCAGCACTAACATAGGTCCCTACATGTTACATTAATGTATTAATTGTATTCTATTAATAACTTACAGTATTAACCAGACTCAAATATGACAATCTATAGATTAAGTCATCTGTATCATTAAAATAAAGCTAGTGAGAGAAAGGTGAATTGATTAAAAATACTAAAATATTTATTGATTTCTTAACTTTACTAGATTTTAAGACATGATTGATTATAGCAACCTTAACTGAACATAAACAAGTTTTTAAACCTACTAGATTCTATAAAATAAGGTATCATTTCACTGAAGGCCTCCAAAATAATGAAATATTACTGAACTCCTTTTGATTAAGACACAGGCAGAAGCATATTTTTTAAGGGAATTATAAAATCAATGATTAGGAGCCATTCAACCTTAAATTGTAATTGGATAAGTTGATTGGTTGAATGAGGGGAAAAAAAGAATACAAGAATAAAAATAAAAGACGATCAATAACATGTGTTTGGCAAAATAAAACCATTCTTATTGCAAAGTTTTTCTTGAAAGAGCTCTTACCATTATAGATACATGCTCCACAAAAGTGTCATTCTATGAAAGGAAGTTCTGGCAGCCTGATCTTTCTCATGCCTGCAAAGTTTACTGTTACTTCTTCTACGTCATACCAACAGCAAAGGTACACTGATAATACAGGGATCACTCCTAACACCAACCCAACTCACAACCCTTCCATCCTTTCAATGCCAATTGCAAGTGACTAGGAGACAAACTGCACCACAGAAGTTTCTCTGAAAAGTCTGAGAGAAAACGCTACACAGGCAAGATAAACGTAGACCATGACAAACAGATCTGTTTTTATTCCCCTTCCCTTTGAGTTCCTGGGAAAGGCAAATTCAAGGTTCTTTTATGCCATAGCCCCCACATACAAATGAAACACTTAAACCAGCACTTAGCTTCCAAACCGCTCAACAAGAACAGTCATTAACCCTCAAAATACAACATGAGGTAGGTTAAAAATCACTCCCCCCATTTTTCAGAGGGAGAAAATGAGGCATAGCAAGGTGAACAGGCCAGCAAGATCCACCAAGAGAATTAGTGAGATACCTGGGATTTAGACTTGGAAGCCACAGACTCAACCCACTAAACTTCAACTCCCTTCCTCTCCAGGATGTCAGCACCAGTGCAGCTCTTGCTCATGGGACTTTCTGAGTCAGCGCATTTGATTTAAAAAGCAAAAGGCTCCTGTCCCAGCTGGTGCTCCCAAAGCAGCACACCAGCTCCATGGCACCATCCCTGGTTAAAATTTGGGTTACCTTCTCAGCCATGTCCCCAGTGATGGCAAGAGATCGGAAGTGATCAAAGTCGTTTCTGCCCAGCTTCCGGAGGCGGCGTGCAGCGGCTCGGTAACACTTCCAGGGTTGGGGTTCAATAAGCAAGTACTCACACAGAGAGGCGAGGCAGGATAAGAACTCCACCAACCCATTATCCCCATGGTTCAGGTGGATCCACATAGTCACTGACATACAGAAGCAGATATCAAAGGTGGAGCGGCCAAACCTGCTTAGAAAGTTGCTCAGAGAGGACTCCCTGGCACCAGCGTCCATGATATCCAGGGTGGTATAGTGGATGGATGCAGGAAAAGGGCTGCACTGCTGGGCCCTCTCAATCAGTGCAGCATCAATGTCACAGCATAGGAGGTTCAGGTCTTTTGCCACTACAAGCTGATCGGGGCTGGCTTCGTTCTCCGGCAGGCCAAGGAGATGTCGGTATAGAGCAACACTTAGTTCCTGCAGGAAGAAAAACCAACATGGGCTCACACATAACTAATGTATGTGGGCTCCCCAAAATAACAGCCAATTTACAGGCAAAACAGAGGCATTAAAACCATTAACTTGGGTTCATTCCCTGAGGGCCCAATCCAAAACTCATTTAAGTCAATGGAAGTCTCTTTATTGGTGCTGTTGGTCTTTGAATTCAGGCCTCAAGTCAGAAAACCCAGGAAAAGAATTGAAGTATCCTGACACCCAAGATCCTAGTTTAGCTCTAGAGATTAATACCATGTCTTGTGAATGCCCCCTTCCTTTGGGAGATACATCCTATGTTTGACCTCCCACAATAGGGCTCAAAGGACCTATAACGGGCTGCAGGCTGGCAGTCTGGATCAGTTAGGCAGTCGGCAACAAGCCACCCACGCAGGTAAGAGGCCTCAGCTGGCAGGCTATTAATGAGGAGGAGAAGTGACTGGCTGATTAGAAATAAAAGAAAAGGAGGAGGAAGTAAGGGAAGGGTGTTGAGATGGAGAGGGAGGACTCCTGTACAGAAGAGCACAGGGTGAAAACTAACCCATGCTGGGAGTGTTTATTTTGGATTGTTTGATATTTGCAACTGAACCCTGTAATGCAGATCAACCCTGGGGTTTTGAAGCCTGTGCTGCTGGGACCAGGCTATGGGCACAGTCTTTTGGATTGTTTTGCTTTTGGCTGAGCCCTGGGAAGCAGAGGAATCCAGGGTATTACAGCATATGGTGTTGAGCCCATAGAAAGATTGTGTTACTGAAATCTGCAGAAGGACTCGAGGACTGATTTGAGCTAGGCAAGCTGACAACCCACTACAGGACCCTTATAGGAAGAACAACCATTGATGAGGCCTGCATTATAGTAAAGACCAGATTAGCCTTATCCACTTATTTCTCCAAGTGCTATATTTCAATATACTTTAAAGCCATAGGACTGTGACATAAAATAGGGTTCTTTTTTCCATTTCCTTTTGCAGGTTAGACTACATGAATCTTCTCTTACAAAACAGCTGATGTCATCCAGGAATTTAATCACAGAACAGTTCTCTGAGTACATCTTCAGCATCCAAAAAAGAAAAAAGTATTGGGCTAGACAGGAACACACTGTCCTCTAGTGGACAAAAAGCCTTTCCAATACCTTCTGCCTCTTAAAGAGACTTGCAGCCTTGTGACTAGATTCCTGGCTCGCCAGTGTTAAAATCCCTTTGGAAATGAGATGCAGTGTACTCCTATAGATAATGCAAAGAACCAAAGCAGCATACAGCTTCCTAAAAACCATCATAACAATGACTCTGCAAATGCAGGCAGCAAGAATGATAAAATGGCCCTTTCATTAAGAACTGTTATTATTAATTTATGTTTAAAGACACATAACATATAAATGTTACATAACAGAGTAACAGAAAAAAAGCTATATACAAAATCCCTCATGCAGACTTTAAAAAATTGGCTATATTTCCCTTAGCAAGCCAGAGTGTAGAATTTGCACTCAACTTTTCATATAGTGTATTCTGTTCTTCAGAAGTGTCAAAAAACATTCTTTAGTGCCTCTCAACATAGCACATAAAATACAGCTCTCAAAAAAGCATAAAAAGGCCAACTACTCATAATCAGTCCCACATGGGTAACCAGTCATCATTACCAATCCCACTAGAGTGACAAAGTTGTGTAACAACAATACAGTATCACTGTCTGTGTTTGGATCATGCAAACATTGGGCCTCATTGTACTAAGCTAATCTACTGCTGCTGGAAATTAAACAATGAAAGCTTGCCTTGCCTCTTATGATAAGCCTCACACCTAAAATCCAATGGGAGCTGGGCCTCTACATCCTTTAAGCTTGATACTCGTGGCCTATCTAGCCCCACAGGCCAGATGAGCTGTGCAGGATCAGGATCATGGACCACCCCAACCCACACACACTGCCTGGTTCAGCTACTCCAGGACCCAGCGAGAGGAGGTCCTCAGGCACTTCCCTGCCACCATGGGAACAAAGAGTAGGCTGCTGGGACTCCAGTTGTGCCCAGAGGAAGTTCCCTTATTGCAGCCAGAGTCCAGGCAACAGTTTGCAGGCCAGAAGACCCACCTCTGAGGGTCCAATCCAGCCCACGGACCAGACATTTGACACTCCTGCTTTACCTGAACCCCTGGTCTTGACCTGGGAGCAGGGCTAGTGCTCCAATCGTCAGCCAGGGGACCACAAGATCTTGTTAATGCAGCATAGCTGGGAGGCAAACACCTGCACACGATTCACCCAAAGGCAGAGATCTTAGCTAGGAACCCACAGCTTTGGGGACATCCTGACCTGCTGCCATCATCCCAAGTCCATTACAGCGCACAACCAGCTTCAGTACTTTTCCATGGCCAGGAATGAACAAAAGGAAGGGCTGGACTCCCCTGGGCTGGGACAGAGTACTCTAGTATCTCAATTCCCTCCTCCAGCACTCGCACGGGCTGCTGCTACAATGGGACGCACCCAGAGAATGGCAGCGCGTGGGTCAGCGCCGACCTGAAATGATGTGGGCAGTGGAGTTTCCCAAGGCCCGGTCCTTGGACCAGTGCTGTTTAATATCTTCATCAGTGACTTAGATGAGGGCGCGGCGAGCACCCTGTTCAAATTTGCATATGACACCAAATTATGGGGTAAAATAAACAACCTAGTTGTTTGCAGGGAACAAATCCAAGTGGATCTGGACAGGTTGAAGAAGTGGGCAGAGCAAAATAGGATGCAATTCAACAAGGACAGGTGCAAAGTGCTGCACCTGAGGAGAAGGAATCATCAACGCACTTACAGGCTGGGGGACAACCTTCTCAGCAGCATAGCAGCAGAAAGGGATCTCGGAGTCATAGCTGACTCTAAAATGAACATGAGTTGTGAATGTGATGAAGCAATCAGTAAGGCTAACCGCTCTTTATCATGCATCAGCAGGTGTATCACGAAAAGCTCCAGGAAGGTGATGCTCTCCCTCTGTGCAGCATTGGTCAGACCGCAGTTGGAGAACTACGTCCCGGTTTGGGCGCCGCACTTTGACAGGGATGTGGCAGCATTGAGAGGGTCTGGAGGAGGCCACTCATGTGGTCAGGAGCCTGCAGCTAAGGCCCTATGAGGAGAGACTGAGGGACCCGGATCTCTTCAGCCTCTGCAAGAGCAGGCTGAGAGGGAATCTTGTGACTGCCTACAAATTCATCAGGGGCAGGGGGTGGAAGGTCAGCATGGAATAGGAGATGCTCTATTTACTAGGGCTCCCCTTGGGGTAACTAGAAACAGAAACAAACTGACAGAGAACAGATTTAGGTTGGACATCAGGAAGAACGTCTTCACAGTTAGAGTGGCCAAAATCTGGGACGGGCTCGGTGGTGCGCTCCCTTACCCTGGGGGGTCTTCAAGACAAGACTGGCTGGGGTCATTCTCCCCCCGTCCACAGGGCAGGGGGGCAGATTCGACCTACTGAGATCCCCTCGGATCCTAAAATCTACGAATCTCACAAGGACGCTCTTGGCCTCTCTCCTGGGCTCAGCCAAAGGGCCTCTCCCCTTCGTCCCGGCGGTGCTCAGCACCCTCTTGTACCTCCCCCGCCCCCGGACGCGCTCACCCCCGAGTTGCAGCCCACGTCGAGCCCCAGCAGCGGGCGGGCCCGGGTGGGGAAGAGGCGCCGCAGCAGCCCGCTTGGCAGCAGGCGGACGCGGCCCTCGGGCGGGTGGAAGCGGGAGTAGTTGGGGAAGTTCCCGTACGGCGCCGCCCCGGGCTCCAGCCCGCCCGGCGCCCCCACAACCCGCCCGGGCGCCGCCGCGGCCTCTTGCCTCATGGGCGCCGCCATCTTGAGTCCGTCGGCGCCTCCTTCCGGCCGGCAACGTCGCTCCCACCCGCGAGTTCCGGTGCACAGGGGTTCCGGGTGGCGGAACTGCGCATGGGTGAGGGTGGAAGGGCCCTTTGCAGGGAGCAGAGGAGCAGGTCAAGGCTTCTGTGCATTAGGGTCCTGTCCCACTAGCCTGGCTGGTCTCACTGGGAGGCCCCAGGCCTGGGCGCCTCACCCCAGCAAAGTCACGGACGTGGTAGTAGGATGGTCTGAGTGCTTACACCTTAAATGAGCTCCCCCCCCAGGGGCAGGGGTGGGGAAACTGAGGCACAGACAGAGCGAGCGAGGTGTCCCGGATCAGAGCCAGGACTTCAACTTGTCAGGGGGTCTTTGCTGTTAGGCTGCGCTGTTCCTCTCCAGCTGAAGCAAAAGGCGAGCTGCAGGAGGGCAGGAGGAGAGCGGCGGATGGATGGAGTCGGGAGGAAGGGGCGCCCTCCCGGCAGTCCCGTGCCCGCACACCCACACTCCTAGCAGAGCCCTGATTGCAGAGCTGGATAAGTCGACGGTGCAGCCAAGTCCTCGGGTGCGCCCGCCAGCTGGCCTGATGGCCTCCAGAGCCTGAGGTGACTTTGCAGACAAGGTTCTTTGGGTGAATCTGATATCTTTTATTAGACCAACTTAAATAGTTGGGGAAAAAATTTTTTAGCAACCTTTCAGTTTAAAAACCCTTCATCAGGCTGAGGAAGTCTCTGCAGTTGGTGTGCGCTCTTCCTGGATAATACAGGTGACCTTGCAGCCCATTTCCTATGAACACTAAGGCTGTGAGGGTGGAAGGGACCTCAGGAGGTCATGTCTAGTCCGGCCCCCTGCTCCAAACAGGACCAGCCCCAACTATATCATCCCAGCCAAGGCTTTGTCTACCCGGATCTTCAATAACTCCAAGGATGGAGAGTCCACCACCTCTCTGGGTAGCCTGTTCCAGTGTTTTACTACCCTCCTCATGAGCCTGTTTTTTCTAATATCTAACCTACATTTTCCTTGCTGCAACTTGAGTCCATTGCTGCTTGTTCTGTCACCTGCCCCCACTGAGAATAGTCCAGCTCCATCCTCTTTGGAACCACCCTACAAGGAGTTGAAGGCTTTAATTAAATCCCCCCTCAGTTCGTCTCTTCTCCAGACTAAATAAGCCCAGATCCCTCAGTCTCTCCTCGTAAGGCATGTGCCCCAGCCCTCAAACCATGTTCATTGCCCTCTACTGGACTCTTTCCAATTTCTTCATATCCTTTCTTTAGTGGAAGGCCCACAACTGGACACGGGACTCCAGATGTGGCTTCACCAGAGCTGAATAGAGGGGAAGAATCATTGCCTTTGATCTGCTGGCAATGCTTCTACCAATGCAGCCCAGGATGCCATTAGCCTTCTTTGCAACAAGGCCCACTGCTGATTCACATTCAGCTTTTATTGTGCCCTGTAACCCCCAGGTCCTTTTCTGCAGAGCTGCTGCCCAGCCAGTCGGCCCCCAGCCTATACCGGTGCATGGGATTGTTCTGTCCTAAGTGCAAGACTTTGCACTTGTCCTTCTTGAAACTCAAGAGATTTCTTTTGGTCCAATCCTCCAATTTCTCAAGGTCTCTTGTGAATCTTAGCCCTACCCCACATTGTATCTACTACACCCCCCAGCTTGGTGTTATCTGTAAACTTGCTGAGGGTGCACTCCCTATCTTCCAGGTCATTGTCCTTTGACTTCACTGCCTTTGATGTGATTTCAGCAGTGGTGCTCTACCGTTTGGCTCTGCGGGCCAGATGAATGGTATGGGGCCAGTCCACAAGCTGGATCAGGCCCCTTGCTGCCTCACCGAGATCAAGACCTGCACGTCCCCCCCTCATCCCCATGCACCTGGATTGGGCCACTTGCTGCTTCTGTGGGCCCAGCATGCCCTGACTGGTCCTGTGCTGCCTTCAGCTAGGTGCAGGCAATGGGCCAAGAGTGAGCCATGCCAACGTCACCCAGCCCAGCACACCAGGATCAGGCCATGCCACCTCTGCTTGGCCCAGCACATGGGATCAGCCCCTGTGCTGCTTCTGCTGGGCCTCATCTGCTCAGTATAGCACACACGGCCACGTTATCCAGCAGGGAAATGATAATTGCTGCCAGCCAAATTTTCAGACTTGTAGGGAGTCTTTTGGGCCAGACAACACAGCTCGGTGGGCCAGATCTGGCCCATGGGCTGGGGGTTGAGCACCTCTGAATTACAGCATCACAGACAGGAAGCAGCCTCAAACCCTGTGCTGTGTACATGCTGCTGTGTCAAAGACACAAGGTGTCTCTTCTTTTGAGCCTGGGATGATTGCATCAGGCACCAGCAAGGAGATGCAAGTGAGTTAAGCAAGACCGCACCTGCAACCTCATTCCAAGGAAAGCATTTTCCCATATGACAGCTTATGACCCATATTTTAGATCAACAGAGAGTCAGTCTGAGGATTAGGGCATCTGTGGGCTTCCAGGCCTCATTTTGGCAGATGCAGTCATGACATCTCTCATGATTTATTAGCACATATCACAATTTCTCACATACTGTATTTCCTTACATACAGCACACCCCCAAATAAGATATGCATCTTCTTTTTGACAGGCAAATGAAGGAAAAAAGATCTCTCCTTGAAAACACTGTTAAGTAGCAGTAACAGTGCATCTACATAAGTAGACTTAAGTTACTGAGCAGTAAAGCATCACAATCTATACATGCATCACAATTAGGGTGCAGTAGATAAATTTACTCTGGCGTAGGGTACTTCTGACAAACACAGGTACTATCCAACAACAGAGTAAATTACTGCACTTAAATGTACATGTAGATGGTGACATTGGCATTAGTTTACCCCAGCTCAAATTGCACCAGAATTTATTTAGTCCCATTAATTACGTGTGCAGAAGTGCCCACTGACTAGCAGCAGTAAAGGTGCCATCCATACTCATCCTGCTTCTCCCTATAGAGCACATGCAGCATTACTTTTGCTTCTCCCTGGCAGAGACCTACACTGTAGAAATCCCTATTACTGTAGTTCCTCACTTATGTGCACCCCAATTTTCAGCAGCTGTTTTTTGAGGGGGAAGTGCATATTCTATGTGAGAAAATATGGTATCTCACACAGTCCACATGCAAAAGTTTTTCTAATAATATGTCCACCTTGCATTTTCAGGTTCAGTTTTAGGGAAAATAAACTGGCTTTTTCCCTGAATATAAGGCCATAACTATAGAAAAAGAAGTGGAATGGCTATTGCCCTTTGAAAATCCCAAAGAAAAATCAAGTAACTAAGGAAAAGATTACATACACTAAACTATTACAATTAAAACCACACTGGAAACAACTGCTGGATTGGTATTTTTATGGTCTTCCCAAAAAAACCACTGCAAGGAGCTGCAGGAGTTTTGAAACCCTTGGACTAGAAGAACTGTTGGCATCCCATCCAGCTTGACATTCCTGTGGATCTATAGCTGGGGGAAAATAACCATGGGCTGAAGCATGTGATTGTTGTGCTCTGAGGGCTGGGGCACCACACCTAGATACCAGAAGAAATGGGTTCTCATTATGGCTCGTTGCCTTGTTGTGTGATCCAGACTAGACTGGAAGCTCTTTAAGGGAGGAACGCTTTTTGTCTGCGTGCTTATGAATTGCTTAGTCACTGGGTCACTCATTTTAAGCTGGTCTTTTAGGCACTCATCTCAGATTCAGAATACCAGACTGTAAGTAATAATGAGGTGAGTGAACAAATAGGCGATGCTTTTGGTCACTCTCCTTGAATGCCAGCTTCTCCTAGATTCCTCAAGATCTGCTTTTCTTTTGAAGGGCTGTTTTTAAGGACTGGTTTTGTTTAATCATTCAGTTGTAATGACTAGTATTATTTGTTCTTTGCCAAATGGCAATCCAAGTAATTCCACCCTGCCTCCTCCCTCCTTTCCACCCTTCACTGTTGGGAGGTGGTGGGCTGTTTAAACAATGCCCCCTTCCATCCCAGCAGCAAGTGCATTTCAAAGGGGGCATTGCCAAGAAGTCCCATGATGGGTTTGGATTCTGGGAGGATGGAACAATGTAGATTCAAGGGATTATGCCAAATAAGTAGAGATCTACTAAATAGAAGAGGCTGTCTGTCAGGCAGCCCTGCCCCTCAGCACTGGTGGTGGGAGAGATGGGACCACATAACAAGCAGCCTTCCCAGTTGTGGTGAGGGTGGCAAGCAAGTGCACACAGAGAATGGCTTCATCATATTGTTGAGTGTCTGTGAACCTACCTTTCAAGCTAGTGATGAAGACAAGAATGGTCTCTTTTCTGTGAGTTTTCTCAATCTCTTCTTCAAGTTGTTGGTAGACGACATTAATACTAGGGCTGTCCGAATCGAAGTGCTGGCTTGGTTAGGCTTTCTGAACCGCTTCAGAAAAGCGTCGGGGCTGCTTCGGAGATCCGGCCACAGGGTATAATGGGGAACCAATGAAATATCTATAACTTTGTTGTTTTTTTGTCTGATTTGGATGAAACTTGCAGGGGTGGGAGTCTCTGCTGAGAGCATAAAGCCTGCCAATTTTCACAAAGATTGGTGTAGGGGTTTGGGGGGAACTGCACCCCAAATCTTTGAAAGCAAAACTCAGGTCACATGTGCGTGTTACACCACAGCGGAATCAAAACTCCGGTCCAGAGCTCTGGATGCGATCCCTGGCATCCGAAGCAGCCGGATCCGAAGCCAGATCAAATAACTTCCTACTTGCACAGGCCTAATTAATACATTCTGTATTAATGCATGTGTAGACACTTGCACTGAGTATCTACACATGCATTAATACACTTTAGTTAATGTGCATTAAATCTAGTACCTCCATTGTCAGGCTGATGCTTGTCTTAATGTGCATTAACTAAAAAGCACGGGTTGCCTATACATGAGCAGGAAGGCTGCTCTGACATGCTAGAATTGTGATTAATTGTGAGCAAGAGCTGACTGGGATTCAAAAAGGGTC